ACTTTTTTCACTCCTAGTCTCATGTTTACAAAAGTCATCTTTCAGGGTATCATTTCATGGTAATTAATTAAACTAACTCTTTCTAATTACCCTGTTTACTTTAAGCTAAGTAAATTCAATATTGATTATTCTTTCTATAGGTGGTTCATGCAAGTGAACATTGATCCTATCTTTTTGTTGGAACTTAGAAGGATAATATTGGGATGGATAGTTGTTAAAATATTGAAACTCAAGCCATATATTGATGGCCTTATCGTTGTAGTCTCTTCTGCTAGTTAGTTTTAATCTTAATTAACTAATTTATTACTCTGTTTTGATCGAAAGCACCCAACCACACCTCCAATGGCAACCTACACACTCGCCGTCTCCACAAGCAACATGGGGAACAACCCATTCCTACTTCACTCTCATCAACAAGACACTACAAGAGGTAATTAATTAAGGGACCCATCTCGAATCTCTGGTTTCTCTCTTTTCATAATTATTCGTATCTTTATATTTTTGTTGTCTGTTATGGTTTAAGACCTGTTGAAATTAACATAGAAAGACTTTTCAGTTTTATCATGGTCTTGGGTATTTTAGAAATGACTAAAGATTTTAGTGTTTATACAATCACTGGATTCAAATGGTACTCCTTGCTCTTGGTTGTTTATTTTCAAATGTGTGCTTTCTGTTTAATATAGGCGTATGAATGATTCTTTTTCCTCAATAAATTTGAGTGGAGTAAAGAAATAAGGAAACTCTACCATTGTTTAAAGATTGTGTGCTAGTGATGAACCTTTCATTGAAGATTGCGTGCAACATTCATACATGGGGGCGTTTGGACATCTGTGTAGCTCTTGAAACCTTTCATATCTAATTGTAGCGCAATTTTATCGTTTTCTTTTGATCTGCAGGTTCCTAATAGCTAGCATAAGTTTAATGATTGCTTGTCGTGTAGAAATTTTGGAAATGAACTCATAATCCCTCTATAAATGTATGAATTTAAAAGAACTCGTATAAGGGGAACGTTCTCCTAGCCGATGTTTTTATATTTTTTTTGGTTAACATACCAAAAAGTAATGCAATAGGAACCTAGAGATCAACTAATTGTCATTCCTTATTCCCTATTCACAACATATCGGTCAATTATTGGTATATACTGTAACTTCATTATTGTTGTGATCATTCATCAAGGTATTCTCCCCTACTTTTTGGCTGTGACCATTCATTAATGCTCTTACCTTTTTTTTTTTCATTCTTCTTCGTGTGATTGTATAATTTATATAGTGGTGTAAGAATGAGGTTTGATTAAGGAAAGGAGATTTATTCTTTTGTGTACAAATTACTGTCTCACTCGTGATCTTTTTACTAGTTCGTAGAAAATATTTTTATTTAGCAAATATTTAAAACTGAATAATTAACGATCAGTTTAAGAGGTTGCGGTGGTTGTTTCCTTTGTAATAGTAATATGGAGACTTGTTTCTATATTTTTTAACAAGTTAGCAGACTGCATATAATTCACACCTCCAACTCAGGCTCAAGACTACTACTATCTCATTCAGCTTAGAACAACAATCAATTGAGGGTGCATGTTTTAAATGAGTAGAATCTTTGAGTTGTAATTCTGGAATATAAGTATTTATATGACCCATTTTGTGTTGAATTGCTTTCTTCATTAAATTAGAGGACTTATTGAACATTTCCATGTATCACAGGTTTATGGTTCCCTCGCCTTCCCCATCAAACTCTGTTCAATAAATCAAGGTGATTTTTCCAACGTATGCAAAACTTGCATTTTGATGTCGTAAGTTTCCACTTTCTTTTAATTATTGAGTTTTTTTCTTCTGTCCTTCTATGTGAATTAGTAGTTAAGTTGTGTAATTAGAAAGTGTATGATTAGTGTATGATAGTAAAAAATTAGCAAGTTTCATTGTCGAGTTGAAGATGAATCAATAGTTTGAATTAAGACATATTTCAAAAAACATGGGGGTGGTACATGAGAGGAAGGGAACTCGTAGTAGGTTTTCAACTCTTATGCTAAGCATGAAGATGAATTGTCATTGGTCGATAATCTTTTTAACTGTTTGATTATAAGTGTTTGATTATGGGAAAATGACTCATATGATCCTCCCAGGTTTCTATTTGGCTCAAATAACCCTGCGTTCTAAAATTGTTTTCAATTACCTACTTTATTATTTTAATTAATTTTTAAAAATAAAATTACAGTTGTGCCCCTGAAGTAAAAAAAAACCAACTGTTGGCCTTTCCCCCTCTTTCTCTTCCATTTCGTTTTCCTTCGTCTTTTTCTTCTTCTCCTTTTCGATTCCCTCCATTCCCTTCAACATAGAAAGCTTCGATTGGACGTTCCATTTTGTTTTGAAAGTAGCGTGGATATTGAAGGTTCGATTTCGTTTTGTTTATTTCTTCTTTCGATTTCGTTTTGTTTATTTCTTCTTTCGATTTCGTTTTTTCCCGTCGATTTCATTTTAGATTTTTAGGGGTTTTAGTTTATGGCGAGTATTTGTACCAATTTCTGGTTGTTTGAGGTGTATGAGAGGTTGAAGATGACCATCGTTGTGGATTTGGTTGTGGATTTTTCGAATGAGAGGTATTCTCAGGGTTATTTCGTAGGAAGTGGATTAGGGCTTCGATTGTTTAGAATGTGGAGAATTCTTGGTTGGTTTCGAGCGAAGTGGGTTAGATTACCAAAGTTTTGGAGCGTGTTCTTAGGAATCTGAAGATTTCTCGGTTGTTTTCGGGCAAATTAGGTTAGGGATTTGAGAAATTAAGAATTTTCAGGGTATTTCGGGCGTGGTGGTTTGGATTTGGAGTTTTATTTATCGTTTGGAAAAAATCTCGGGGCATTTCGAGCGATCTAAATTGAAATGGTGGGGGTTGTAGGCTCTGGAAAAATTCTCGGGGCCCGTTCTCATCCGGGAAAGTCCACAAGAATTTTTACAGGATTAATGATTCTCGAGCGAAATGTTCGAGTTCATTAATACTGCTAAAATTCTTGTGCACGACTTCGCCCGAAAATTGCCCCGAGAAAGTTGACAGAATTAGTTTTTATTTTTTATTTTTTTGGGTTCGTTAAAGGTTTGGTTGGTTATTAGAATATATTTATATGTATGGTTTGTCATTTTCTCTGATCATAGGATTCTTTATTTCCTCATCTACAGGTTAATTCAAAATGGAAATGGTAGCTAAAATCCCTCCCTTATCCTATGCCTCCGCCAATTTGACATATTTGTCGCATCTAGCGAAGACTACCGCAGCCATTAAGAGTAAATTGACCCACCACAGCTTAGGATGTTTAGGAAAACTGTATTCGGCCACCTCATTGACTTAGACCTCGTATTTAACGGGTCATTGCTACACAACATCTTACTTAAGGAGATCGAGGATAGTACACCTGACACTATTAGCTTCAACCTGTTTGGGAGTAAGGCAATTTGAGTGAATGGAGTTCGACATTATTTCTGGCCTTAAGTATGATAGGAGTCCAGTTAGAAAAGACACATCTACCCACAGACTTAGGGCTCTTTACTTTAATGATAGTAACAACGTTCTTTTGAGTGAATTTGAGTAGATTTATATAGTCGCACAGTTCGATGATGACTTCGACGCGGTCAAGGTATTTATTGTTGACTTAGTAGAGTTAGTTCTGTTGGGGAGAGAGAGGACCCTAAAGTACGACTATACATTGCTGGGAATAGTCGATGATTGGGAAACGTGTTGCAACCACGACTGGGGCATGTTGTCCTTTGATAAGACTATATATAGTCTGAAGCGTGGCTCGATGAAGAGGTCGAAGGATGGCGGGTTCAGGGAATCGTACAGTCTCTACGGTTTCCTTTAGGCGTTCCAAGTATGAGCATAGATACTTGTTTATAGTTATCGTTCCTTTGAACTGGTCAATAACGTCCACCACTTATACTTACAGGTGTGAGCCTACGAGACTATATCTTCATTATCTGGGCGTGTGGCCAATAAGGTAAATTTGGACGCCGTGCCACGTATTCTTCGATGGAGGTACGACCATTCAACTGCATGGCATGTGCTGGACAGAGATATTTTCCGATCTGGCACAGTAAGTTAAATCTTGTTTATATCTATAACTTTCTTTGATTTCCATATTTATGCCGACACGTTCATTACCATTGCTGTAGGGAAGAACTCGATCAATAGAAGCAACGGATGCTGACATCATTCCTAAATAGGACGTTCGAACCACCCGAGCCCGAAGATGAGGATGAAGTCCCGTGCGAGAACGATGCTGTTGAACCATCAAGTGCACGTGTAGGACCAGAGAAGGATGACGGGGGACAAGGAGCGAACGTCGACGAAGGTGTCAGAGAAGACATCCATGAAGAGCCTAAGGAGAAGGAGGAGAATGGACGTGGTAAGAAGGTACACATGTCCAGTATGTGTATGAGAAAAGTTGAGAAACGTTTGAAGCGCATGGACAGGCACATGGACGACGGGTTCGGAAGTATTAAGGCTGAATTAGAATCCATCCGGAAATTCTTGCGGAGAATCGCTAAGGTAATAACAATTTTCGACTTATAATAACTACGATGTCGTTTTCGCATAGCGAGAAATAACTTGTCCTCCATTCTATAGGGTTCACCTGTCGACTGGAATGACATGAGAAGAGGCAGCAGCTGTGATGGTACTGGGCCAGTAGATGGTTCGAGTGATGCACCTAGTGGAAGACCTATTGATGGACCCACTAGCGGACCTAGTGGTGGACCGTCACTAGCACTGATGGTGGTGATGGTTCAACCGTCACTAGCACTGATGGTGGTCGAGGTGATGGTTCTAAGGGTGGTGATGGTTCTACACCATCTCCTAGGGACGGGGACGACACAGATGACATGATCATCGAGCCTCTCCATGTCAACGTGCACGGGACAGAGGAACATCAGTCCGGCCAAACGACTGGAGAAAAGGCTGAACCAGAACGTGAGGTATGTGTTCGTAATCCATAAGTTCAAATTTGATCGTAACCATGGTCTAACGAAGGTTACTGTGTCCTGTTTCAATAGCATCCACCTGCCTTGTCGCGCAAGGAAGACATGTGTACAGAGGACGTGCACAAGGAGCGTATGGAGACCGGTCTACATGCACGTTGTGAGGTTGCCCCTCTCGAGGAGACTCCTGTTCAAAGCAAACCGGTGTACCATATTATGATCGATTCGCATCCGTTAGAGTCATCTATGGACGACGAGGTATTTATTTTTGACCTTTCACCTCTAAACACAAGATTTTATTTGCTAACATAATTTATCCAGGACGAATACACCGAGGATTTCACGGACTCTGATGAGGAAGGGTCGGGAGAAGCAAAATCTCAGAATGCTAAGGATACTCGACGTCGCATCCGGACCTGGGTAAGGTACGTGGGCTGTCGCAGACCGTTGAACGCCAGAAACCTTGACGGGGGTCTCGGAAGAGGAAGCTCCCATGGAAGCTTTGGGGGTCGTTCAATGTCATGGTGGATGGGAAACGGAAGAAGGTAATGTCATATGACCCACTAGTCCACGTCCCCCCCGAACAAGTCCAGAAGTTTCATGTTTGGATGGCGAACCCTAAGACCGATCGTGCCACTCGCAAATCATGTTACGGTGATCGGGGAAAGCATGGTTTCGTGACCTTATCACCCCAGGCAAGTGGATGATGAGTGAGGTACGGATTAGAAACCCTAAATATGTTTTGTACTGTTATTTTTTTTCTAACAACAATAACTTATATAGGTCATTGATTCGTTGGTCATGTTCACGCCAAACAAACTCGAGCAACGGTAGGACTTGTGTTGCCGAAGATTCACCACCGGTGACATCGTCCTTGCGGTACGTAATATATATATATCTCATACGCTGACCGTACGTACAAATTCATGTGCTAACAAAATTCTTTCTTCGTTGCAGAACTTTCTTCAACGAACAGACGGACTATATCAACGCATGACGGCCCCGAACGCAGTACCTGCGGGAGTTGCAGCGGAATACGATTGGGCTGGCAAGTGTAAGACAATCCTGAGCTACATGGACGGGACGTACACCGACTATCAGACACGATGGCTTGATCTGGATGCTGTTTACCTACCATACAACTTCGGTGGCAACCATTGGATTATGCTACACATCGATCTGCAAGAGGGTGAGATCATTGTGTGGGATTCAATGAGGTCGATGACATCTTTTCCAGCTCTAGAGTCAGAGTTGAGGTCGATGACGCGTTCGTCAGGTACTGGCCGACACTACTGGATACACCATGGCGCGTTCGTCAGGTAACGTCCGCGCCCTAATAGAGCGGATCCGATGACTGCGGGATGTTTTGCGTTAAATACTTTGAGTATGATGTAACATGGTCAAATATGGCCAGCTTAACTCAGGACAAGATTAGTTTCTTTAGGGAGAAATTAGCCATTGAAAGGTGGGCGAACTGATCTATATTTTGAATCCAATTCGCTTATTAGTACTATGACATCATTTTATTACCTAGCTCTTACAAACTAACCAATTTGATACAAAAAATGAACCAATTGTGCAAGCCAATTTTGCAATCCAACAATACAACATCGACTATTCATATTCCGCCAAAAAATAGCTAGTATGGAAAGCACTGGAATATTTCACGAGCAAAATCATGCTATTCACGGGCGAGAAATATTTCAGTCAGTGCAAGTGAAGTATCTGAAATATTTCTCGGGCGAGAATATGACCATCTCGCCCGAAAACTTTTTCATAGACTTAGAAGCAGTTCTCTAGACTATTTCACGGGCGAGAATATCAACATCCCGCTCAAGAATTGCATTCATGGCCTCTTGAAATCGTTTAAGTAAGGTAAAATTTTATCAACATTTCGCCCAAATATATGATGATCGATTTCCAGTACACAAAAAAGAAAGTACATGGATATAAGTAAATAATACATCGAACTAAGACTTTGTTGTTCGTAATGGTTGGCGGCAAGTTTTCTTATTGTAACCTTGAATTCCACACCTGTTGCATTTATGTATTTGTTGAGGCTCGCCTACTGAAGGTACCCATACTGTTTGTCGTCTTCCAACTCTCGCAACGAACTTCGGAGGCTCGATGGTGTACTCAACAAAGTCGAGGCCAGTCCTCCTCATCATCCAATGGGTAGATTGGTTCGGCGTACGCGTTAAGAAGCGTTTCTAATTTATACTTGGGCGAACACAGTGTGTATATACTAACATTACGATGCATGACGGCAGTGACAGCGTGGGAGCACGGGATCTCGTAGTAGTCAAACTGATTACATGTACAACTCTTACTGTTTAGGTTGAAATGCACTTTACCGCTAATATCGTGTATCTCGTACTCGTAATTATCAATCGGTCTAATCGTATGTCGTCAGGCCTGCTCCACTGCACCTTTAACAATCTCCTCAACATAATCACAATCATGGTAGAAGAGCCCTAAAATGTTTTAATAGTGCAGTGACAGGCAAATATCGTGCGTCTACTAGAACTGCATTCATGGACTTTGCAATGTTAGTTGTCATCTGATTGTACCTCAACCGAAGTTGATACGCGCGTGACCATTTATCGAACCTGAGTTCCTCCAAGTACTTTCGCACTTTTGGGAATCCTGCAAGCTAATTCCAATAATACCTGAATGTAGACTTCTTGAATGCCTTAGCTGCTAGGCGGTATAGTCATTCCACGTCTTCACTCCTAATCTTGAACTTATCATTCAAGTTCATCTGCACGTGATGCATGCAACTAACGTTTTCAGCAGTGTGGAAGACAGAAGTTACATAGTTATTAATGATTCGATGCCGGTCAGACACGAACACCAATCCTTCAACGTCTCCAATACAACTCTTCACTCGTTCCAAGAACCAAGTCCTTGAGTCGTTTGTTTCCTTGTCTACGATTCCAAATGCAAGTGGATATATCTGATTATTACCAATAATAGAGGAGGCTATTAATATTACACCTTTATATTTTCCCTTCAGATGTGCACCGTCGATAACAAGTACGGCGCGAATGCAACTTCTAAACCCTCGGATTGAGCAGCCTAGGGCCATGAATGCATATTGAAAATATTTATCGTTCTCCAATTTCAATGAAAATACCGTGCCCAGGTTCACCAATTTCAATGCCTCACCATATTTACGCAAAAGAGTGTACAACTTCTTCGGCGATCCCATTAGTAGTTCCAAAGCCCTCTCTCTCGCACGCCACGCCTTTTCATATGGGATGTTAATACCGTAATTTTTCCGTATGTCGTTAACAATATCCTTCGGTCTATAACGACGACTTGATTCTCAAATGTGGACTTTATAATCTGACCCACCACACGACTTTGAGCTTGCCGGTGGTAATGTTTCATTACCTCACGAGTGCAACTGTGCACCTCATAGAATGTAGAGATAAGAAAAGTATCCGAACATTTAATTTTCCTTGAACGTAGGCTCCATTTGCACCCATCCTTGGTGCATCAGACAGTGTACAAACTTTTTGTTGACTTCTTTACGCGATATTCAAAATTAATCTTCATTGCGTACACCGAGAGTTTGAACTGCAAATATTTTTTCGATTGAAAAGTACTCCCTACCGCAATGTCCTCCATTGACGAACAAACTTCGTCACCTGTCCTAATAATTTCCATTGAGCAAGAAGCTTGATCGGTTGCACACGGTACATTCATATTGACCATATGCACTTCGGTCGAGGAGTCCGTTGATGGACCGGCTACATCCACTGGGTCTACTTCCTCCTCGTTGTCAAAATCAACATCATCATCGAATTCAGAATTGTGATTGTCATCATCCTAGGCCTCGAACTCCTACTCCACGTCGTTTTCATCGTTATCGACCCCTTGACCGCAATAGTTTGTTTCGTCACCCATGTTACATGGGATTACATTGTCCGTTAGCGGCGTCATTGATGGGACAAAACATGATGTGCTCGGGAGCGTGGAATCAAAAGGAAGCGATGGCGCATAATACGGAACGATCTGCCTTAACTAGTGGGGAAATGATTGGAATGCTTCTGCTTCTGGAATGTTACGATTCATTGAACTACTTCCACAGACTTGTATTTCCTTCGGTACGACAGATACATATAATGGGACTTCAGAGGGATGTGGAGGGCCTCTTAAAAAAAATCTAAAGCTATGGTCATCAAAGATGTAATACTTCGAAACCTGGTATTGCAGATTGAACTTATATACACAATGTATCAAGATTTTGTACCAGTCCGGATCTATTCGGGTAAGGCTAAACATAGCACTAAGGAGCTCCTCATAAGTTATACAGTCGTCCACATCCAAACCTCCCATAATTCCACCTTCATATATAAATTGTGTTTCATTCCAACTACCACCATAGCTAACAAATAGGCGAGGCATCCTGCATGTGAAAAGAAAAGCATTCAAAATTCAAAATTAGAAATTTTCGAAATTCTCGGGCGGAAGTTATTGTTTTTCGGGCGAGAATTCATGCCCCGAATACAATATGATTCTCGCCCGAACCTCATCTTTCTCGACCGTGAATAACTCTAACTTCGCCTGAGAATCATGGAAAAATATAGACAGTACATGCCCCAAACATGTCATTCTCAAAGGTAGAATAAAAACAACAAAAACGCATTCAAACGTTTCAAAATAAACAAAAAACAAAAGGGCAGACATATAAATGTGCGACTTCCGAGACAAAAAAGACGAAAAAAGACCATTCTTTGTAAAGGACATTTCACCTACCTCGTTCGTGTTGAAATCTTACTCAACTACAAACAAACTGCGTGGTCAGATGGAAGAGTTACTTTCAATGTACAATATTCTTTTTGTTATCCGCAAAGTTAATACGAAGTACACAGATGAAGAAGACTGGTTTGCTTAAGTGCACAGATGAGAGTTAGCTGTTTGAATTAATTTGAAACCTTAAATTCTCGGGCGAAATAATATAGTTAACGGTCGGGAATTCATTGTAAGTCAACCTAATTTTTCGCCAATTCTCGCCCATAAACAACCCAAAATTAGCATTTTTAGCCAATTTTCGGGCGGGAAAATGCGATTTCGCACTGGAATTCGTTGAATTACATTATATTTTCACACTTTTGATCGGGAAAATCGCGTTTCAGCCCGAGAATTTACTCTTCAATTGAGGGGTAGTTGGGTACATTTACTTCTACTGACAATTCTGAAAAAGCTGATTTGGGTCATTCAAAACAATTTTTGACGGGTGGGTTATTTGAACACATTAGAAACTTGAGAGGGTCATATGAGTCAATTTCCTCTTTTATTATTGCTAAATGTAGTTTGTGGAGGGATTGGTTGTCCCATATGAATCATGTGGAGCATGTTATTGCATTCTAGATTAGTTTTTTATTATTTTAAAAGAGGTCGTTCTAAAGTAGAGGACATGTTGAGATATTATTTTGTGAATAGATTGAAGGAGATATGATTTGGTTAGTTTTGAGTTGCAATTTTGAGATATTATTTTGTGTGAATGTAGGTTGCAAGGAGATTATATGGTTGGTTAACCACTTGATTGGTAACCAACTATTTTTTTAATTACATTATTCACGAAATAATGACGGTCAATGATCGTCACGAAATATAGTCATTCCATGACACACATACAATGACGTACAAATAATGACGCACATATAATGACGTACAAACAATGACGTACATACAATGACGGGCCACAACCGCCATGAAAAATGAATAGAAACAAAGACACTCGTAAAGATATCGGTCGTTGCCCGTCATGGTTATCTTTTCGTGACAGGCAATGCCCGTCATGAAAATAAAATTTTTCATGACGGGTATTGCCCGTCATTAACACGGTCTGTCATTGAAAAAGAAACAAGGACACTCGAATAGATGTCGGTCACTTGACCGTCATTGTTTCCTTTTAATGACGGGCATTGCCCGTCATGAAAAGTCAAATTTGTTGTAGTGTATCTATTAACTCCCCATTTCCGCTGGCCATACTATCTGGAGATGGAGATAGATTAGCTTGGAAGATGAGTTTGGGAGTCAAGAAGTGTCTAGCAACGTGAGTATTCAAAAGCGTGAGTTATTTTAACATACAATGACGCACAAACCATGACTCACAAACCATGTCACCCAAACAATAACGTAAATATAATGACAGGTTAGGACAATCATTAACGACGTCCATCATTGAAAAGAAACAACGACACTCAAATCCATGTCGGCGCCTGACCGATATTATTTATCTTTAATGACAGGTTAGGGAGACACGACCCGTCCCAAACACCTACTAGTCCTAGAACGAATTGTGCCGACCACAGACCTCGACTAGCTATGAAGTCCATGGTTAACTTTCTTTCTTAACTTTGACCTCAACCATGACTAAAAAATTTTGAATGGATGCACAATAATTCAATAATCTCAACAAAACAACCATTCTTACAACCATTGTAAACATTCCTTTCTATCAAAAGGGTGCAGGTAAAACTTCTTACAAACAACCAACACATGCATATAGAATGTC